TCATATAATGGTTTTCGAGGTACATCTCATGATCTTTTTTGAGTCATGCATTGTATATGTAGTGATCATGTCTTCCATGCGGATGTCCCCATTTGAGCGTCAAAAACCTCCAAGTAAGAAAGCTATATCATCCGCGGAAGCTGAAGCTGTGGTCGCGGAAGCAGCGCGTAAGACAAGTAGGATTAGAAGAGAATGACAGTTTTCGCCACCGCTCATTTGAGTCAGCGATATCTCCTTTGTTGAGCTAATTTATGGTACAGCGATCCAAACATTTCCTGCTAAAACTCCTCAGCTTTTGCAAGCTGAACACACATTTTTGTTGCTTAAAACCCCAATTTGTGTTGCTTAAACCCCGAAACCCCCAACTTCTGTTGGTTAAACCCATTCACCACCATATTTTGTATTATTTTGTTGGTCAAACACATTTCTGTGGGTAAAACCACCCTCATTTGGTGCAGAAGCGGCCATTTTTCCGAGGTTTGATCGTTGCGTGGGCCGCCCTCACGCCCAAACCCACCCTGTGCGTCCTGGGGGGCGGCATGGTGCGCGACATCAAACGTTCCTTGGGCAATGAATCGAAGGAATAGAACAAAAAATACTACAGGATGGGGCCCCAAGATAGCTAAGTTGCCTTATAAGTGGCTGAATTCTATGGTTTATGGTAGGTATACCTATAGATAACTATGGTTAATGGAGTTTCCAAACCAACTTAGCTATCTTGGGGGCCGCATCCTGTACGGCTGATTGGTGAATTATGATAAGATTGATAAGGAGCCAACCGAATTCAGGGTTCATGTTGCCCAAGAAGTTTTGTTGTTGTAATCACTATGTGTTCCACTTTGGGGTTAGTTATTATTTTCCATTATATTCCCAAGTTCTTGGGCCTAAAATAATCTAACTTGACCATAAACAATCGCCGCATCGGGGTTCACGTAAAAAAGAGCCATGGTAAAGATACCGCTGCCAATGGGTTAATGAAACAGTGGGTTATACCATGTTATACCACCTGATCTATTGGGGATAATTGTACCTTTTTTTTGGGAGTTTCTAGTAGCCAGTGCAATGTGATGGGATAGGGGCATTATTCATGGCTCTTTGGTCATGGCTTATTGAAGTAATGAATATGCAAACGCATACGTCTATGTGGACAGTGGCATATGTATTGTATGCAATCTAATGGTTCATTGAAGCTGATGCATATATATATATATATATTACACATACATTCACGAAGCTGATTTGGGCATAGTGTAGTAGTTATTTGTTTGTCTATCTATATATATAATTATATATGTATATACACATACACACACACATGCGTCTGTATATCACAACATGTATCTGGCCACCAGCGACTGTCTGCTCCGCAGTGAACAAGTGTGGTCCGTAAGTTCCATTAAAAAAAAACCCAGCTCTCTGCTGAAGTTCTGAACGAAAATGATTTCTGGTTGGTGGTTTAAGGAACATGGCTGGATGATTTTTCCATTCAGTTGGGAATGTCATCATCCCAACTGACTTTCACTCCATCATTTTTCAGAGGGGTAGGTTGAAACCACCCAGATTTGCCATTGTAGGGACTAGGCTTCAAAACGCTGAGGGCGAGACACCCAGGAGTACCAGTTCGCCGCGTGTGGAGGCGGTAAATTTGTGAGGTTGCCATTTTGCCATAGCAACTGAGGACTCAACAATTACTCAACAGTTTAAGGATATAATACGATTTATATGATTAATATATGATTGATATAATGATTAATATATGATTAATATAATGACTAATATATGACTAATATATGATATGATCAGACCATTAACGGATTAGCAATTAGTTAAACTAATCATATCTGCTGGAACTAATACCATAGCAACCATTATTCCATGATGGTTATTTGACAAGCATGGCGATTTGACCATCTCACATGGGAATACAGGTAAATCTTGAACCAATGATTATCTGTTTGGGGGTTTCAAACATCCATATTTTAGGGGGTTGCTCATGCACCAAGCAGAAACATGGTGATTTTCTTCTTCATCTTTAGATTGGTAGAGAGGAACATCTGCACAACAATCAGCCAGCAGGATCTGTGAACATTGGTCGTTTGACAATGGAAACGTTGTGATTTAGCCTGGCTTAGCCATGGCAAAAAGGGTGCATAAATGCAGCAAACATCGGGAGAGTCACCAAGAAACATGGGGGCATTGAACCAGAAATGATGCTTAATTACAAATAGAATGAGTTTCATTAAGATTGTGGATTATATACTGTAATATGCATGTGGGAAGCTTTTAATGTGCACTCAGTCTACTTTGGAGATGGAGCGTCTGCGTTTTGGACGCTGCTCACATGGTGAGTTTCAGGAGTCACACAGACCCACCAGTGGCAGCTCATAGTGACAAGCCTCAACGATCCTTCCTTTTGATTGGCAAATGATGAGGGATTCATAGACTCTTCCGGGTCTATACTGTAAGACTCTGTATGGTTTGTTCCCCGATAGGATCCATTAAAAAGGCCACGGGCCATTGGGACGTTCGGAGTGTGTATCACGATCCGGTGATGTGATTTTTTTCGCCAGGAAAGAACATCTGTATGTGGCACCTGGATCCCGTTCGTGGGGAATTACAACCCCACCAGGCCAAGAGCACCGCGGCACCGCGATTTCGAAGCCCGAGTCACATGGTTCTCCACTATAATATTGTATATAATACATGTTTTCAGCCATTGTATATATATAATACATAGAAAACAGCTAATCTGATGGTTATCATCATATGTTATCATCATTTTCAAGAGCCACTTTTTGAGTATCCGCTATTGCGAGAAGCATACCTACATACTCCCACCAAAAGTGTCAGATTTTCAGTTTGCAGCATGGGTTCCATAGGGGTTTGTCTCAAGATTGGGCAACCGCCCACTTTTAATGGTTTAGAACCTAATTTGCCTATAGTAATGGTTTACTAAAGTTTCAACCCTAGTTTTGCCCATTGAAATCGCCATCGATTATCCGATTGGGATGCATTCCATCCAGAGACACACCCCATTTGGTCAAGTCAGGTGGGCAATGCCTTCAAACAAGTGCGCGAGTACATTTGTCTGGGGCCGAAAATTTCGAATCACCTGGGGGACCTGGGCTCTATGGGTCAGATATTGAGAAATGTCTAATAAAATCACATAAATATCACCATGACTGTTGGTTTATGTTTTTGTTTTTATCCATTTTAGCCACCATTTATAACGTTTTTTTTTCCCTTATAACCCCACTCTTAGACCAGAATGGATGGTTGTGAGACCAAAATGGATGGTTTAGTACTGGAAGTTCGGTGGAAAGTATCATCTAAACCTTGTGGTAAATATTTGAGGGTGCCTATTATCCATTGCTGGGAGGATTTGATCCTGACCCAGGGGGATTGGAAAGTTGGGAGCCTGGCAACGATGAACGCCAAGAAACAGATGTGAATGCTGGTTCCTAGTATTTCATAGTTTTCCATAGTTAAGCACAATCGAGCAAGGCCTAACTATTAGGCCTAACTATTAGGCCTAACTATTAGGCCATACTTGCCATAGTCACCATGTTTAGCTTGTATTGAATTTTTATGATATTTCCATTATATTAACCATAGTTAAACCATAGTTAATCTAATACAACCTATAGTTACCATAATTAATGACCACATTTCCACCGAAATCTCAGCGTTTTTGAGGCTTAGCCTTCACCCAGGACAAGGAGTATCTTCTGGCAGGCAAGTTCACATGGCCTACAGCGAGAACCAGGGTTCTTTTAAGCAACAGACATGGTAGTTGTTCCATGTCAGATGAATAGGGGTGATGCTTCGCCTGGCCAAATATGGGGACCTGCTCAGCAGTAAGATGCAGATATCAGGGATATCAGCTAATTTTGATTGGTTTATTGGCAGACAACGATGGGTATAGGACCAAAAATGCCGCATGGTTGCTACCGAAATCAGGTTCCCCAATGGACACCATTCTGAAAGAATGAGTTCCAATCATGCTTTCTATCCACTCAGAGGCTACAACTCTTGGGATTCTCGTCAAAGCAATTAAGTCGCTTTGCAAGGGCTACACGACTTTCCTGTGCTTTTGCTAGATTGATAGCGACTGCAAACAATTCGAGCTTTGATCATGATGGTTGTTTTCTGTTGAAGTTGGGGCAACAATGGCTTTCACGGCTTCCAATCAGGGCTGGGGTTCATTGTAAGCAATCCCTTGACACGTTTACAACCTTACCCCTTGAACATGATGGATGCCAGAATGTGCCTGCTGTGAACATCGTAACATTGACCATTGGGGGTTCCATGAGTTCCATGTAGCCCCGTTGTATACCCTCTGTCTGCCCCGTGAGAGACGTACATGTACCCAACGCTATTTGGAGGTGTCCTAAAATAGGGGTACACCTAGTAATCATCCATTTACAGATGGGATTTTCCCTTATAAATCATCCATTTGGGGGCAGGTAGCACCACCGGTGATGTAGCTGTGGTGTTGATGAAGAACCGAGTGGTTGGGAAACCTGGGAGATGCCGTATCCGGAGCTTTGAAGGGGATGTTTATGGCTCAAAGTGACTGGTGAGTTGGGGATGTGTTTAAGAGTTTCACAGACCTGTAGTATGTACTATATATATATGTACTATATATATATGTACTATATATATATATATGTACTATATATATATGTACTATATATATATGTTGGTAGGGAGCTCTCAACCTTGGGTCTCCTGACCCTTCCCACCGTTGGCCTCCTGGCCTAGACAATCGGACTCTTTTCACCTCTCATTGCGACAGCGGTGAACAGAATGGTTCCTTGGGGCATTGAGCCAAGGCCACGGTATGATGTGACCTGGCAAGGGATTGAAGATGCTGTGGCAAACAACACTCCTCTGTACTATAAAAAGGAAAAAGGCGCCCAGCCTTATAAATCACTCACAGAACCAAATTTGCAGTGTTGAAAGCTCCAGCAACTTGTGTGATCTTCAATGTTCTCAGCTCACTTGAAACGACGAACGGTGTCAGTGCCAGGGATCATAGGCAGCTGCTGCATCAAACTCTCATGCGACTCACGGGCAAGAAAGTAGAGGGAGAGATCAAGAAGATGGCCACTGGCTGATTCCACTTGTCCTTTGACCCAACGCACATAGCGAATATCCTCCGCATTCTTGGAATCAAACACCTCCGTGTATGTGATCTCTGTGACTCCCTTCTTCGCAGCAAACTTGCCAAACATGATGTTGGTGCGTCCCCACGACGCAAGATCATTCACTCCCTGGGGCAAGATAATGGGCTTGCCCTTGGGTGTGTGTCCAACCACCTCATTCTTGATCTTTGCGACATAACTGCGCTTCAACTCAGACTCGCCAGTGGGTTCATCTGTGCGACGCTTGGCTGCTTCCCCCATTCCATGGAAGGCTTCTTCCTCAATCACTGCAAAGCTCGTAGGCGTAGGAACTTCGGGCTCATCATCAACTCCATGGGCACGGGCTAACAACTCGGCAAGCATCACTTTCTCACTGGGTGACAAGGCCTGAGAGGAGGCACTCATGCTTTCGGCACTGAAGCGGAAAACGGAAAAGGGCGTTCAGAGGAGCTCCTTGAACATGAAAATCACTTGCAAAACAAAATTCCGTTCCCAAGGTCCACACTTAAACACTTGAACTCGAGTGCAAGCGGTCAATAACCCCAGTTATTGTTCTAGGCTTACCCCAAGTAAGAAAAACTATACATAGTCGCAGTTGCTAATGAGATTTTACTCAGAGCTGATTGATCCTTTGGATCGCATTCTTCTTTGTCGTTCCTCGGCTTGCAGCTGCAAAACTGTTTCCTCTGGAGAAATCTGGTAGGTGCACTGCCGAATGCACGCTCGCAACAAGTCAGTCGGATCTCCAGCGCTCTTCGTAAGAGAGTCAGCTAGCATTCTGTTGGTAGGGACCCATCGCAACGATCCTTTCAAACGTTCCAGACTCTGGCGTAAGATAACAATGTCAATCGATGTACGACGGTCTTCAATAGATGTTGGAGAAGTAACAGCTACAAGATGATCATACAAACTCTTACAATCAGTAATAACAACAGGAGGTCTGGATTGCAGATGTTTTAAATAATCACGAACATCATTGATACCATCAAGAGCTTCAGACAGCAATAATGAGGCCCATTCCAAAGTGCCAGTTGCGGAGACCATAGCTTGGGCTTCTGCTGCCAATGTTGATCCTACTGCACGGGATAGTTTAAAGGACTTCCACATGGCTGGTGTCCAACTTGTTTCATGACCTTGATCCAAGTTATCGTCAGAAAAGCCGATGATGTACCCAGCTTGAGTGTGATTTCCTAAATTGGCCCATGCAGCATCACTATGGCAGCAAAAACGCAACCTAGACGTGGGAATGCTTTTGAACGTGACTGTCAAGTCGGAGAACTGTTTGGCACGCTTGATAACATTGTTGGCTTCCAGTAAATTATGCACGGTTGGATTAGGAAAACTTTGTTGACTAATACTGGTTTGTGCAGACAAATCTGGACGGCTCTGTGAAGCCAGCCAATTCAAGCTACCATTGATGCCACGAAGAATGCTAATCTCTTTGGAATCCAAGACGGCTCGTCTGTTGAGTCTACGGTGCTTTGGAAGGTGAGCAGGCTTCATGTTTTGTGCAAAGCCCTGCTGGCTCATGGTGATATCAAAGGACTTCGAATCTTGGCAGTAGTGGGTACCGCAAAATTCACCTTCTCGAACTCTCCATTTTCTGTAAGGGAATCTGGCTCTCAGCCTTTTGATAGCATCATTATAACGACTGCCTTCTCCTCCTGTCACCGTATCATCAACATGGGCACCAAGAACACCAGTGAGACGACCTCCCTCTCGCATCCAGTAGAGACAACTGTCGTATTTACTACGTTCAAAACCTGCAGCAACAACTTCATCGTTAAACACCTTATACCAAGCAGCAGGGGCATCGTTTTGACCATAAACGTTGCCAAGAACCTCAATAAGACAGTCTTCGTCAATACCTGGAATGCCACCTGCTGGAATCTTAGCAAACAGGGGCTTGTAGCAAGCAGGAAGGGGTCCGGCTTCGAGAAAGGCTCCTTTCACATCGCCGAGCTGCAAAAGCCATTTGTGAGATGCTAGCAACTGAAATAAAATGGTTCGACCAATTTGTGACAATGTCGGCGACTGAAGCTGCCCCTCACGAACTTTGGTGTGTAGGTCAGGGTCCAAATGTCCCTGAAGACACCACCTGGCTTTGACCTTCCAGTGTTCTAGATTGGCTGGATCAGGTTGTTTTCCGTTCTCAATCAGTTCTTCCTCAGGCTTTTTGACAACCACATAACGACTACCCATAATGCGGTCAGGTTGGTGCTGTTTGATCCAGTTGGCTTCTTTCGGAGGGACCACACAGACGGCTTGTTTGTCAATCAGGGTCTGCCATTCGCTGACCTTGGCTTGATCGACTTTTGCCTGCAAAAACGGTTCGTTATTGGAAACTGGAATCTCTTTCTGGGCTCGCTTATTATAGTACTGGGCAACAAGGGCTTCAACGGCATTGTCCTTCGCAGTTTGAAAAGTTTGCCACAACTCATGAGATTCTACAGTTTCGCAACAAGCTGATTCTACATATGCAATCGGGTGCTCCCCCGGGGAGTCTGGCGAAGCATCAAGTCTTGGAGCTTTGTGCTCCGGTTGGTCGGTGGCCTCATCAGCATTTCTCTTACGATTGGCCTGTTCGGCTTCAACTGCTTCCTCAATCAAGTGGGGAACAACCTCTTGCATGACTTCTACAAAATCTTCTTGTCTCATGGCAGTTGGACGGAACAGGGTCATAGGGCCACTTTTGGACGGCAGCCGACGGCGACGAACTGGGCCATAGTCACTAGAACCAGAGGGGGCTTCTGCCATCTCAACCGCTTCTGATGGGCCTGCACCAGAACTGGATACTTCCGCATTGGGTTGTTCAGCGGTTTCTTCATTTGCAGGTACGCTCGGAAGCTCTGGTCGAGAGATAGCAGGAACAGATTGACTACTCTGGCTACCAAGGGCTTGATCAGATTCTGGGGGCGTCTCAACATCATGTGCCAACACTGCCGGTTCTTGGGGAGGATATGCCTGTGCCACAAGGTCTACATACTGGTGGCTACGGAAAGTTCCATGTTCAATCATGTCTTTAATACCCAGTAGCTGAGTCTCGGGTGTCTCAACCAGGGATCTTTCCTCACCGGTGGCTAAACGAACTTGTTCTGGTGCACAACGCAAGATGTGGTTTCTGTGGGCAACAATGACATTTCGTCCTACCAGACCTATGACGATGCCACTTCCATACCAGCGGCCACCCTGAGACAAAAGGCCTTTGCTCCATTTCTGATCACGCCAGTAGGCGACAACATCGCCTGAGTTGAAAGGTTTATCCCGTCTTGGTCTGGCGATCAAGGCTCGGCGGAGACTTTGATCGTCTTGCAATTGCAGGACAGCTTGCCTGGCCGCAGAACGCACGGCATATTTTCGTGCAAGCGCTTGATCTTGCAAGGAGGCTGTACAAGCAACTGCATCAGCTGGTTCATTCAAGACATCTCCGGGAAGCTCAGGGTTCTTGCCAAATATGAACTGACTGGGAGTATAGCCGTAGTTTTGGATCATTTGATTTTTGACATGGCTCTGAATAACACATTCCAGCCACTCTTCTTTGTTTTCAGGACTTTTCTGTTCCAAAACTTTGGACAACACACGTGAAAACCAACCACCATGAACTTCTGTCTTACCAAGTTGCCAATGGGCGCCTGCTGCAGTCACCAACACATGGGTTCCTTCAAGCTCTGTAGGTTCAACCATTGCCTTACCAAGGTTTGTTCTGGCTGGGTCAAGAATGACTTCTTTTGGGGGACCGGCCCAATTTACCCATTTCTCAAGGTACAACTTCCGTAGAACACTCGCTGTTTCAGTCTCAAAGAAGGGCACCATGAGTTGATAGGACGAAGCATAGTCCACTATGTTAAGAGCAGAAATCTTTTGATTTGGTTTCCAGCCAGGCAGGTACTTGACATCCAAACCAACACGCTGGTTGAATTCTAGCACGCGATGTGCTTGGCCGGGATTTGCCACTGTCGGGGCTTGACGCGCTGTGCAAAAGTCACAAGACAAGTCTTTGGCCAACTTAATGGCAGTTTCACTGGCTTGACCATGACGCAAAATGCGTACTAGATCGTGATTGGAAGGATGGCCTAAATTCTTGTGCAGCCGATGCAGAACAGCTTTCAACTTCTCAGGGTCAGCCTCGGCTTCGGTGGCTAAAACTTCAAACGGAAGAGCATCATGGTGATCATTGCCATCCCAATTACAGACTAACACTTCAGTGCATGAACGAAACTTCGGCACGGTGTTCAGCACAGCCTGTACAAAATCTGGGGTGTATCGCCCAGCATGTTTGCTCACGGATCCGATTCCTGGTTCACTGCCGGCAATAGTGGCATGGACATGTTCAGGCGCTGACTCTCCTGGGCAGTGGCGTTGGAGGACTTCCATGTCTGGGTGGCTACACAACAATCGGGTGCTCTTACGGATATACCTCTTCGGCTTATCTCCACGAGCTGGCAGGTGAAGGTCAAAACAGCACATGTGAGTGATGAAGGACGTCAACTCTTGACACCATTGTTGCATTTCATCATCATGCCAAACATCGGACCCGGCAGGGTGTTCAAACAGAAATCTGCCACCTGCTGCCACCTGTTGCCTGATCAAATCTTTGACAAACAGCATGAAAGTTTTCAACTTCCGTCGACGGCTCAAGACTTCACTACAGGACATGTACAAGGAGTTAAGGTTGAACCAGCCCCCTGCGTCAGTGCATGGTGGACAAATAACCAAAAGCTCTGGAGGATTCAGTCTGAGTTCTTCCTTAACCCAATCCCGATTGGCCTTGACGGTGAAGTCCCATCCATTCAACACGTCGAAGGATATGCCCTTGAGTCCCATCTTTTCTACCTCAGGGGTAAATCTAGGGGGGCAAAACACCTCGGCAACTGCATACTTGCTTCCAAGCCTGATTGACTTGAGTTGATGATTCAGCTGTCGGACCTGTTTCTTGGTAAGGCCACCCTGTTTCTTACTGTTGGGAATGTTCTGGGTTCCAAGACATTCATAACACGGCCTCTGACCAGGCAAAGACTCACTGGCAATGGGGGACCACTGTGCGTTGGAAAAGGGACGAGACACGGACGGGACTGACACGGATGCAGGACCTAATGCAGAAACTGGATTGGACTCGAGCTCTATACCCCGGTTATTCCCCGTCTTATCCGTTATCCCCTTATCACAGCTATCCCCGTTATGCTTATCTTGCTCATTCTCTGACTTCTTGGACAGACCGGCATCGGATGCAGTGGAAGGCACATCCACCAACTGAACCTCATGCTCAATGGTGCGGACTGGAAAGTTCATAACGTCGAGGACGTATTGGCCCGCAACGTTGGACTTCAGCTGGACTTGGGTCTTGCCATCAAACAGTGACAAGCGATCATTCGCAAAGTCAATGCTGGCCCCAAGTCTTTTCAGGGCTGGTCTCGACAGCAGCAGAGGCGCATCACCTGCTACTATGGCTGCTTGAACTGTTCCAAACTTTCCATCCAGGCCTATGGGCATGACAACAACTTGAGTGGAAGTCTCACGTTCGCCGTTTCCAAACTTGAATACGTTCACCTCATCCTTGAACGTAGGTTGAAAGCGATCATCTTTCTTCCAGAGACTCTGAAACTGAGACAAGGTTTTTTGCCCAACTATTGTTTTGCCACAACCTGAATCCAGAACAGCAAAGCCTGGACTGCTGACCAGAAGGACCTCTTGTGCTGGTTGCGCACGTTGCTCATGTAGGCACTGCACCTGTTGCACCAATGTCCTTTGGGACTCCACTGCGGCCACAAAAACAGGCTGCTCGACAACGACTTCAGGGGCCACATAGCTAGCAGCTGTTTCCTTCACATTTCCTTTGGAGGCATGAGATGGAGCTGAGGGATCTCGTTTTTGCCTGCACTCCCTAGCCCAATGGCCAAGTTTGCCACATCGATTGCACTTGGTTTTGCGTTTCATCTCTTCAATCTCCACTCGGAAAGACCTACGCAAGTCCTTGGCTTGGTCGAACTTGCGAAGTTTCTGGAGACGATTTATCTCAGCTCTCTTGTCCTTCCACGTGGCAGCAAGAACCTCAGCGACCTCTTCTTCAGGGTATTCCAGATCTTGTTCATCAATGTCTTTGACATAGTCAGCCAGGAAGAGTTCAACATCGTCAAAACCTGTGACCTCATCGTCAGGTGGCAAACTAGGTGAATCCCCAAGCTCATCCTGAACCAAAGCTACTGCCTTTTTCCGGGAATTTTTGAAATCCGGATAACAGCTTCTCATGGCCTTGCTCACGGCTTCACGTTTCAAATCTCCCATGGAGCGGCCTTTCACAACCGCCTGCTGTTCTTCATTCAGACCACTCCACTTGAGTAACATGAATCCGCGGGCCTCTTCCGGAAACTTGACATTGCCCTTGCGCTCACATCGGTCAAACAGTTCTGTTGCCCTGCTGATCCACTGCCGAAGGGACTCTCCTTCCTTGGATCGCAGGCTAAACACCTCATTCAGGACTTCAGCCAGTTCATCAGTTTCATCACGTTGTGGAAACCTTAGATCTAAGAGGTCTAAGAGCTTTTTCTCTCCACCCTCTTTCTGGTATTCCGAAGGCTCAAGGTGCTCCACGCATTCCAAAGCCTTTCCCTGCAGCAGTGTAAACAGATACGAACCACGAGCTTCCTTAGGCAATTTATCCAGAGTTGCAAACTTGTTGACAAGCCAGAGCTTCCAGCGCCGGTACTCCTTGAAGTCTTCGTTCTCGCCGCTGAAACTGCGGACACTACCGCCATGGTCAGAGCTGGATGTCGATGACGACATAGATGCTGTGCTCGCCTGTTCCTCCTGGAACTGAGACGGATGCTGGTATCGCGGACCAGCTCCGCTACCAATGTTGGTAGGGAGCTCTCAACCTTGGGTCTCCTGACCCTTCCCACCGTTGGCCTCCTGGCCTAGACAATCGGACTCTTTTCACCTCTCATTGCGACAGCGGTGAACAGAATGGTTCCTTGGGGCATTGAGCCAAGGCCACGGTATGATGTGACCTGGCAAGGGATTGAAGATGCTGTGGCAAACAACATATATATATATATATATGTACTATATATATATATATATATATATGTACTATATATATATATATATTACATAATCTGCACAAATTTACTGCGGGCCCAGCCGATGAACGAGGTAGGGTTTGTAGATTTCACGAGCCCAGCGACGAGGTGCCGCCATGTTTTTGAAGGATAGAGCGCTTGGAAGATGCTAAAAGATTTCTAAAGTCGAACTAACGAGGTGAGCTGCTACATAAATGGAGAATTTAAATTCTCCATGGAGAATTTAAACCACGAGGGAGACGAGCTAAGAAATTTCCATTTGAATCATTCCGCGGCATTGGTGGCCTGGTTACTATGAGGGCTTAGGAAGCCTCCGAAGCCCAACAAGGAGCCGGGATGGAGTTCCAAGGTTTGATGGGGACCCCATGAAATTGGCAAGGTATCGTGAAGAGGCTCTCCTCTATGGGCACAAGAAGACTACTCCAAGAGCTTTTTGGGGTAGCCAAAACCATCACCAGAACTCAAACCATTCGAGATCCCGAGTGGCTGAATGATCCGAGGGGCATGTATCGGCTGCTGGAGTATCTTGAACAACATCTGCCAAAGCCCAGCCTTGTAGAAGCTAGTCGACATGTCAGCAGTGAGGGAGGTAGAAACCATGACGGAGTAGTGTGCGAGGCACGCTGAGGCCTTGTGGGAAGCGCCCACAGCTTGAAAGAATATGGGGCCACACCTCAAAAACCAGCGGAGATTCGTAGGCTGATTGGGGCCGCAGTTCTCCAACTTTTCTTCCAGTTTTGCGGCTGGCAGAATTCAAACTTGAAAAAGGTGATGTCAGTGATGTCAGCGGAGCTTTCCTCCAAGGTGATGATCTCCAAGAAGAACTCTGGTGTAGACCCTTAAAGGAAATTACTGACCATCTCGAAGTTTGATGCGTAAGGCCGCCTATGGGCTGGTACAAGCCCCTCTCCATTGGCAAAACAGTATCAGCAACTATTTCACATTGGATATTGCAAACTGGAACTGGAACCATGCTGAATGAGGAAGGCGTGAAATCCATCACACATGCGGATGTAGATAACTCTTATTTGCTGGAGCAGTAGGATGTCCTATACATCTGGGGTTAATGCAGCAAAAATGCAGTCTGCTTACAAGTGGGGAACTTGGGAAGAAGGTAGTTTTACACAGTGTGGTATTGAAGTGGTACAACATCCTGACTTTAGCATCCAGTTGCGAGAAGAAAAAGCTTTGACGAGCTGTCCGCGATTCACATGTTTAGAGATCGCAGTAGACAAACCGAATGTCCAACAACTGACGAGGAGAAACGCAAACTTCCCGGCGCCCTAGGATCTCTTTTATGGATCTCGGTGGATGTCAAGGTGCTTGTTACAAAGGTGATTTTTAGCACCGCGGCTGACATCGTGAAAACAAACAGGCTGACACATGATTATGAGAAAGACAAAGTCACAATGTTATCGAATACATTCATTTCTGAAGGAACAGAACCTGGAACTCATCGCTTGGAGTGATGCTGCATGGGCCAAATCTGACCCTACCGAAGGTATTTTGATAGGAATGAGCACAGCACCACTTCGTGAGGGTAATGAGGCAGCAGTGGACCCAATCTCTGCTTTCTCCTATGGCACTTCATCAAAACTCTATCTACTACTGTACTGTACTACTACTGTACTACTCCTACTCCTACTAATCTTACTATTCCTACTACTGCTACTGCTACTGCTACTACTACTACTACTACTCCTCCTACTATTACTACTATTACTACTGCTACTACTGCTACTGCGACTACTACTACTACTACAACAACTACTAATACTATTACTACAACAACAACAACTACTACTACTACTACAACAACAACTACTACTACTACTACTTCTACTTCTACTTCTACTTCTACCACTACTTCTACTTCTACTTCTACTTCTTCTACTTCTTCTACTACTACTACTTCTACTACTTCTTCTGCTTCTACTGCTTCTATTGCTTCTACTGCTTCTACTACTTCTACTACTCCTCCTCCTACTACTACTTCTTCTTCTACTTCTACTTCTACTCCTACTCCTACTTCTACTTCTACTTCTCCTACTACCCCTTCTACTGCTACTACTTCTACTCCTACTCCTACTTCTACTTCTACTTCTACTTCTCCTACTACCCCTTCTACTGCTACTACTGCTTCTACTGCTACTACTGCTACTACTGCTACTACTGCTACTACTGCTACTACTGCTACTACTGCTGCTGCTGCTACTACTACTACTTCTACTTCTACTTCTACTTCTCCTACTTCTCCTACTACTCCTTCTACTGCTACTACTGCTACTACTGCTACTACTGCTACTACTGCTACTACTGCTGCTGCTACTACTACTACCACCACCACCACCACCACCACCACCCTTACTACTCCTACAACTCGTACCGCTGCTACTGCCTCTCTTACTACTGCTACTGCCTCTCTTACTGCTGCTACTGCTACTGCTACTATTACTTCTTTTGCTACTGCTACTGCTACTGCTACTACTACTACTACTACTACTACTCCTACTGCTCCTACTGCTCCTACTGCTACTGCTACTGCTACTGCGACTGCGACTGCGACTGCGACTGCGACTGCGACTGCGACTGCTACTGCTACTGCTACTGCTACTGCTGCTGCTGCTACTCCTCCTCCTCCTCGTCTGCAGCCATTTTGGCTCATCGAGTTTGCGTCAGTCCGCAGCACCGTGAGCTGGTGTTGAAAGCTTTCCTGTGTTTCAATTCCTTGGTCCGAACAGCACGGTCAGATGTTTCTCCAAAGCACTGCTTTCATGCGGGCTCCCCTGATCGCGGCACCACAGCGAGTGGGGCAGTTCCGATCAGGGTGCCTCGTGTGCTCTCGGTTTCCTCGTCACAAGGAAAAAAATAGTGAGCAATATGTGGCACCTACGTTGGAAGATCCACCGCCTCCTGATGCCAATCAGCAAGCGCAGAAAAGGACCAAGCCCAATTCCCCCAAAAGTTTTTATCCCCCTATCGACCCCGATGATGCACTAAAAATTGGGAATGGACGGATTTGGAGGGAAATGGGGATCAAACACTCTGAAAAGCTCACCCCCGAATTGGCCGCTAAGGAAGCTTCGTTTGCTCGGGTGAAACTGGTCGAGTATCTCCGTAAGCACAAGAAGAAGTACGGGGAACTGTTTCAAAAATAGGGCTTCGATGGCATGCGTGGCTGTTGCTTCAATTCCCATCATTTTGGTCTTCAGAGAAAAGCATTACCAAAATTTGAAACCTCCTTTGGATGGACGTTGCCCTACAAATTGGTGGCGTGAGACCCCACTGTTGTTATTGATTTCAGCGGAGCTGGCAAAGGCTGTGTCAATCCTAAATCTGTCAAATCTAGTGACCCCAAAATTCCTTCCGTCAGAAATGCTGTGGTTTCGAGGAAGGGCTCAAGTGGAGCTGGCA